ATAATTAACGGGATCCTTATAGATTTTTTTCAGACTTGAATCAGTGTCCTTGTGGTAGCTGTTCCTTTTTTCTTGTTTGTTTCAATTTCACAGAGAAATTGTACTTCTGTGGCTCTGCTTTTTGTCTCTTTTTTTGCTCAAAGACACAGAAAAAAACTGTCAGAGGCTAAAGCCAGAGGTGCTGTATTCTCTCAGCGTCTTTTTCCTCTGGTGGAATTAAATGCACTCTTTATTTTTCAAGTTTATACATAACAGATAAACAAGTGCGCATATTTTTCACAGAAGTAGCAACTAGTCAGACAATTTCTGCCCCATATTCCTGCATAATCTGACTTCCTGAAAGCTTCAGAGAATCACTGTTTTTTCCTGTAAGTATTTTACCTTTTGCACTTTGTAATGCCCACATTGTGCTTGGCCTGACTTACCAAAGCCTTCTCATTGTCTTTGTGACTAATCAGGGCAGCCTATCAGTTCATCTCACTGTACTGGGATGTCAAATTAAGGAGCTCTCTTGCCTGAGGCTCTACAGGGGGAAGTGGTTTTCAAAATCTAAATCATTCTCAGGTGCATATCTTTCCTGTGACAGATAGAGAGTGCCAGGAAGTCTGGAATCATAATTTAGGTGCCTTGATCAGGTAGGATGAATTTGGGCTGAGGCATATAACTTTTAGGCAGATACGAGTTTTCAAAAAGTGTCAATCCAGTTAATTCTGAATATCTCGGAGAAGCTTGTCAGATGTGAAATACCTCACAATTCACAAGTTCATAACTTTTTTCCTCTCCCCCTACAGAGGCTGCTTTTGACTCCCCTGAGACACCTGACAGTGAACCTTTGTTTACAAAACTGCGCAATCCAAGCACAGGCAAGTTCTGGAATTGTGATACGAGCCTGCTCGTGTTCTTCTGCTTAATTCCCTCCATCAACTAAAAGATTCATAATTTGCAAAGCTGAAATAATGATGATAGTACAAGTCTTACGTGCCAAAGATACTGCTGGTGATGCTGAATAGTTAATGCTGTGCAAACATTTAGGATTTCTTTTATAATTTTAATTGGTTGGACTGTTTATTCATCAGGAATATTGGCAGCACAAAAAGGGATGTAATTTAAATTCTGTTTTTAAGTGCTTTAGTCTGGGGAGCATACAGTGTTTTGGGTGTTGAGTCTGGTCTTTTTTTTATCCAAATGTAGTCTTCATAGCATTCATCTTATGCTGTAAAATAAACAGTCAGAGTTAGAAGAAGTGATTCAGTTATACTTATGAAGCTTTTTGAGTCTTTTCATTTTTAAATCTAATTTTCTTTTCCTGGTCCATGTCGTGGTGTCTCTTTTCTCCGTAATAGAGGATGAGGCACTTTGAATTTAAAATACATTGGAAAGAGTAGCAACTGCAGGGATGGATACCACCATCCCACAATTACTTTCTTCTAGTCAGAGTGGGTTTTTTGTCAAGGATTTGTTATTATCATGTGAGTATTTAATAATTTGGAGATACTGCAACAGAAACTTGCAGGAAGCCTTTGTTAGGGTTAACATGTTCTGTTTGAAAAACATGTTTCATGCTGGGTTGGTTTTTTTTTTGCATAAGCTTTTGTTTTCTGTAGATTTAACTTTTATGGTTTTGGTTTGAAATTCACTGCTTGTATTTATATATGTGTAGACAATTTGTTTTTCACTGTGTAAGAAGAGGTCTGTTTACATTGTAGAATGAGAGATCCTGTGAAAGTTTTCTGGGGAAAACTTAAAGTACAACGATTGTCCGGGTGTGTTCCTTTAGAATTTACAGGAGCTTATTTATAGACCTGCATAAACTTTCAGTTATGTAGCCTATTATAAATACAGGGTCTGAAAATGGAAGGACTGAGAACATACTATTAATGTATTTTCCTTACATTTGGGTCTAACAGATGAATAGGTGATGCCAGATGCTGTATAAATACACACTAAAGGACTCAGCTCACTGTAGTGTTCATGCTAACCACTTTATTAAATAAAGGTATGCTTGGTCCTTTACATAGACAGGTAAAAAGGACAAAATTTCTATCCCTTACGAAGACTATAAGCTAGGATTCAGACTGCAGTTCACAAGTACAAGCAACATTGGTATAGTTGTGAGCAAAGCTGCTTGGGTTCCCTCCCCTTCCCGTAGCGTTTCTGTCTGCTGGGAACCTGTGGTGACTGTCCTTTTTCCATAAGCACGTAATTAAGGAGCTGTTGTTAGGCAATAAGAAGATAAATTTTTGTAGCTCGCCACTGGATGTGGCTAGCATGCTCACTGGTAGGAGTCATAAGTTGTTGAGTGAGCACTTGTGGGAGTAGTTTGGTGTCTGGTGCTGATCGAAATGTGGTGTAGAACCTTGTTGAGGTTCTATACCACATGGTAATGATTCAGCCGATATTCAATTCAATCATGGTAATGACTGAAACCTCTGCTTCCCCTTATATCTACTCTTTGCTCCTCTCCTCCTGTCGTCAAAAGAAAAATTATCAGGGAACTGAAATTACATCTTTACATGAGATTAAACATCTGGTCAGCCTTTTGGATAATGGTGGGGAAATGTGCATTATTCGTCGTTTTTGGGAAGACACGTGTCTGTCTCTTCACCTGGGGAGACCTCTACAGACTGAGAAGAGCTGTGCTGATGTCAGTTTACAGGGCTTACTCTGGGACTTATTTGAGCCAGCCCATGATCTGTGAGTCAATGCAGCTTTGCAGTTTGTATGTTTTGAGCAGATCAGCCATGTTGTAGTTGCTCTTGTATCTTGGTGATAACCAAGACAGGACTAGTCCAACCAACAGACTCAGCTGACCACATTTCAGTGGTCCCTTCTGTAGTTCTGGCAACTTCCCATTTTAGATATGGAGAATGCCAATTCTGTTTGCATTATATTCATCACCCTTTCACTGTAACCTAAAACTAATGTGAAATGGCAGAGCTGTGCTCTGGAGCGACCTAAAATAAAGCTTTCGTTTTCCTTTCTATACTATCAAGTTGCTTCAAAGCAACTTCATCTAGCTTTCTTGTTCGCTTTATATGTCTACCCATACTGTGTCATTGAGTTCATTTGGATGTGCAAAAAAAATAAAAAGGATTTCACATTGTCCCTTGAAGGTTTGAGACTTTTGTTCCCCTAGGCCAGGGTCTGATATCTTGAAGACAACAGTGATGGAAGGAGAGGGAATTTTCTTGTTTTCCACCTTCCCCCTTCAGTACAGAAAAAAGCTGATTTCTTGAGTGATTCTCATTTGGGTTTGGATCAAAAGCTTTGTGTAGTAAGATGAACTATTCACACATCTTATTTATTGATTCAAATTCAGTTTCGTTTATAGAGCTGGTAAATGAACATCTGTATATAATAGTGGGTTTTGTCTGAGCTTTCTTTGTAGTAAGTTTATGTAGAATGTGTCTATGTTTGTGTGTCTATGTATATAAGACACATTCTTCAGGCATATTGGGTATTCTTTTGATTTTTGTGAAAGCTTACAAACACAAACCAGATTTCTTTTCAACAGGGGAAGCAACCCTTTACTTATTCAATAGTGGTGCACAGCAGCTGTTTGAAGTAAAAGCTTTTCATGAGGAATATCATTCCTGGTTTATAGGTCAGACTGTTCAACAAGGTGAGTAGCAGCATAACATGTCCTTCCCCCAGCTTTAACTAATGTTTGTACATAGACCTTCCCTCTCTGCTCTAGTAAATTTACAGGTGTCTTTCCTAGTTGTTTAAGGCATGCTACATCATATCCCCACCATACGGATTTAACCAGGGCTGGGGGCTTTGTGGTTTCTCTTTAAAAGTTTGCCTTTGGCAGCTTCAATTAGACAGATGTTCATTTGTCTTTTTTGGGGGGGAAAGGGGAGAAGTAATTCAATTGTACTTAAACTGAAGTGCCATAAAATACTTAGCTTGCCTTGTCAATTACACTAGCAAGTCCTCCGTGTAAGTAGATGTATGTTATCCTGTAGGAAGGAAAAAGGACTGGAGGGCCAAGCAGAGTGGTGCATTAGAACTCCAAGCATTGGAATGTATGGTCTTACTTTCTTTTAATAACCTCTGTAGTCCCCTGTGTGAGCACTGGGATCTCAGGATAGACTGGCTATCTGAAGTTGCCATTTCAGTGTTTTGACTGAAGTGAGCTGGTCTGTACATCCTGGACATTCCCTGATCGTACTCGCCTTTCTGAAGATGAGAAGGAAACTTACATAACTGCTTGTGATGACTTTAACAATACTTTTTCAGTAAGGATGTCATTGTAGTAGTGTTTCTCTGCCAGCATGGCCAGAGACCAGTAAGTATTAATTCAGGAGATTAAGGTATATTTATTTTGTTCCTTTTCATTAGAAAAAAAGACCATTTTATAGTAATAAATAAAAGCAACCCCACCAGACATATGCCTTCTTTAATGGTAATATCCCAAAGTGTGTGCTAACTTTTAAACATCCTCTGCAGGCACATAAAGCAATGCAAGCAGTATGTCTGTGAGCTTTTCCTTGCTCCATCTTGGGGGTGAGCCAAAGGAGCCGGTCTACTCCCTGCTCCCAATTATGACCACATTCTATTCTCTCCCCCCACTTTTTAACCTTTATTTTGGCCCTTGGGAAACAGTTGCCTTAAGGAATCATGGCCTCAGTTTTCTTTTAAAAGATAGAAGGGAAAAATTGTTCCTGAATGTTGGGGCCGCTGCATCTCTGAAACAGTCGGGAGAAGAGCAACACGAAAAAGCTGTGTGTTTGCAGTTGAAGCAGATGATCTTGTTATCTGCAGTGAAGGGCAGAGTTTTTTACACACCTCTAGTGAGTCTGAACTGTTTAGAACAAAGAAATATGCCTCTTCCTGGAGGTTCAGTGGAAAGCATTTAAACTGGAAGCCTTTAGACAGTGGTTAGTGGGGTTTTTTCATTCCAGCTTTGTTATCAAAGCTTTCATGTTTGTAAGTAGTCCTGATGCTTGCTTTGCCTCACACAGCACATCATGTTAATAATACAGATGTTAGGTTGGATATCAGCTTTGCCCAAACCACATTCTTCCCACCCGATCTTTTGTTAGTTTTAGGGCCATCATAATAGGATTTCCTTTTCTTTAATTATCTTAATCATGTGATTTAAAACAAAAAGATTACATTTATTTGCTTTTGGTTTGCTAATTAATGTCAAATTGTCATCAATTATTTGGTCTCATTAGCGAATTTCCTTGATGTTACATTGTTTCCAATTATCTGCAATTATACAAAAAGCCTGACTAAGCCATTGTCCTGCAATGAACTCCAGATGGGCAGAGGTGTCTGTTGCAATGGGAGACCAAGTTCTACCTCTGTGTGTAACTCTGAATGCAGCATACTGAGCCACATTTTCTGATCTCTTTAAGTTTATTTTGTTTTATTAGGAGGCTGTATGCTGATTCTCCCCTTACAGATGAGAGGCAGCTCTAACTTAACTAGCTCTTGAAATTCTGCCCTCTCTTCTGCCAGCTCGGCATTGCCTTGCCCAGTGTTTGAGGCAGAGTATACTGAATCTATCTGGTGTTCCAAGCAAAGTTTCTGTTACCCCCAAATATGCCAATAGAGGGCAGCTTCAATTTTGCTGGTTCTAATGTAGGCCATCAAGAGGCAAAACTAAGAGTGCATGAAGCCAGAAGACCTGAAGTGAAGCTTTTGCTTTGGTTTGACAGGCTAAGAACTCAGTTGTCTCTGTACTTTTAAGATCAAATTGCAAATGCAATTTTCCTGTCCGTTTTATTAAAATATTGGGATAACTACTGGGAAAAAATTATCTTCACACTCCTGGAAAACATCCTAAAAACCAAAACAGTCAATATATTGTGTCCTTTGATACTATACTTACTTTTACATGTCTGTCACCTAGATGGGCGCCTGCTGTTTGTTACACCAGTGGATCCCTTATTTCTCATACTTTACTACCTCATAAAGGCAGATGAGGAGGTAAGTTTGCTTTTGTTTTTTTCACTGGAATTCTCAGGAGAAAACATTATTTCTGACTCCATTTTCTGTAGTAGTTATGTTCCGTAATAATGGAAATCTAATTTGCATTTAAAGCAGAGATGTCCAGCCTAGAAGTATTTTTTTTTTTGCATTGAGTTTTTTGGGTCAGTAAATTGTGTTCCAAGAGTCAGCTTCCAATCTCAACAAGCTCTAATTACCTCCTTTTTTCAAGAGAAGCAGAGAATCTCTTTTGTCCTTTTGTGAGTGTCTATCCCAGAGCTATTAAATTTAAAATGATGAGATGTCATCAGAGTAAATCTAACTAATGCCCTTTCTGAGGCATCTGTAGATTGGTCTTTTTGGGAAAGAAGGGGAAAGAAGAATTTGGATGCTATGGAGCAGGAAGGAGGAATATTTCTGTGGCAGTTTGAACTTCAGAGGAAACCTTGCCTTTTTAGAAGCAGTACTTGTAGAGATGCTGTGTCATAGAATAGCAACTGGATGATTATGTATCCAAAAGTTGGGTAATTAATAAATGGCTTCATTGATTTATCATGAGTGTGGCAAAACCTCACTTAAAGTTCTGAAATATATCAAAAGTCATAGGCAAAGTTACTGATTTATTTTATATAAACTGCCTGTGGAAAAAAGAGCACTAACTAAAATGGAAATGTTGATCCTCCTTCGTTTGTTTTGTGGAGGCAGTAAGTTCACTTTATGCATCCTAAAGGTTTTTGCTCTAAAAGCATTTCTTACAAGGTCGCTTGCTATTTTCTGCTTTAGATTGCAAGTGGAGAATGCAGAACAATTTTTGCATGTTGAAGTTATAAAGTCCTACTACACCTTTGTAATAGTAACCTATTTTTCTGTAATTATTTTTAAATTATTTAAGGCATAGAATGTGCAAATGTATTCTGTGTTTCTGTGGTCTGTTCCTGCATCGGGATGGTCCATCAGTTTCTCAAGGAATAGTTTAGCTCATTCCCTAGGCACTGCATTCTGTTTGAATTCATCATCCCTCTAAAAGCTTTATACCAAACTTTATTTAGGGAAACACTAAATCTCTCTCTGTGTGGTAGGGTATTGAGGCAGCCTGAGTAAAGGACAAGTACTGCTGCTGTTTCTGTACCTGGGAAGAGTCCTGTGCTGCCCTTTTCTTTTCTCAGTACATTCTTTTCTAGGTTTTCTGGTTTTCTAGACCAGGCACGGTGCCAGAAAAATGCACAGAGCAGGTCCTAAAAAAAGGGCAAATCCATGCCTGCAGTGCCTTGCCTAGCTTAGCATATTCTTCTGTAAAGGGGAGTCTTGTTGCAGATGCCTCATGCAAGGCCAGCTTGAATGCAGCACGGTCACTTCTGGCTCAAACCTAATGGGTATCAGGGTACCTACTGGGTATCTTAGGGTCATCCTTTCCACTATTCTTTGGTTTTGATAGTGTGATGCAGAATTGCTCGGAGTGTCCCTGAGCAGAGCCATCTCCTGTACAGCAGACTTTCTTGACTTAGGCTCTGTGCCCGTGCACAATGTAAATGTGGGTGTCTTGCTCTGGGACACAAGCAGGTAACTTATCTGTAGAGAAAAGTTTATTGCAGCTTTATTTTTGTGTCTCATAACCTTCTTTTTGCCACTGTTACTGTGCCTTTTTAAGGAGAAAAAAACCTCAAAAATAGTTTCTGGTTTTGGGGGGAGGGGGTTTGCTCATTTGGGATATTTTTCTTGTTTTTCTTGTGATTTAACAATAGATGGTTACTTTTATTAAGCCTCTGATGTCTAGCAGGAGGATTAACTAATAATGAAAGCAGTATACCCAAATGGGGTTTTTTTTATGCTGACCAGTATAATGACTTCAGCCTTGGCTCCTGACACCATGCACTCACTAAGGGTGAAGAGCTCACAGAGTCTTTGTACTGATGGGCTAAAGGATCTTTCCAAAGGGAAGGCTGCCAGTTGTGCCAAACCATGCTGAATGATTATGCATTGTTTGGCAATGGCAGAATTTGTTTGATGGTTCTGTCATGTGTGGGACTATTTAAGTTGTGCCAAAATCACTTTATATTCCTACTCTGGCCAAACTGGAATTGACTTTGCAGAGGTGAAAGGTTAATACTATGTTCCAGAAGCTGCCCTGCTCCTTTGAGATTTATCTTTATGGAAGGAAAAGCAAAATTTGAATGGAAGTTATGACACTGGGTTTAATCCAACAGGTTTTGGTCTAAAACACTATTGGCACACACTGACTGCTGTGTCTTCTGTCATCTTCCAAAAAATCCTGCTGTACTTCACATTAGTTTCTCCCATGTTGTTTTAAATTTGGGCTTTTAACTGCAGTATTTGAAGAGTTCAGCATTTTGCAGGTATTTACTGGTTTGAAATAAATAGTTATAGTTTGCTTTGTAATCAGTTTCTGAATGTGTCATGTGTTACTATTCAAAATACGATCTTCTTTAAATCCTTTATTTTAAAACTGTGGTCACTGCATGCATATATATTTCTAAATATATGTATTGTGCATATGTGTCTTAACATTATAATAATTCTTTTGTAATCCCTTTGATGTACTTTCAGCATCAAGGAAAGTTCCAGCCACTTGATCAAGTTGTGCTAGACTCAGAGTACCCTAGTTGCCCATTGCTGCTGAAGTGTGTGGATGTCAAACAGTACATACATCATGTCACGGAAGAAAAAGGTGAAAAAGGGGGGGGCGAAGAAAAGACTGGATTTGTTAGTTCATTACATACTGCTTTTTGCTTTACCCAACACCTGTGGTGTCTGACAGAGCTGTACTTTAAAAACAGAGTCTTAGGCTTAGACGTTATCATTACAGTATTGTGAACAGTAATGTGTGGATCTCTGTTATCTGCTGTAATTCTCAAATACTTGTGCAGTCTTGTTGCTAGGTGTCATAAAAAGGATAAATTGTGACCAGATCTGGCTTCCTGACATTATTGTGTATATTGCGAACTTTCTTTGACTTTGGATAGGAATTTTCCATCTCTCTCAATTCTTTATTTAGTGCACGATGGTCTAGCATGGAAGAAGTTATCCATTGTACATTTTACTTTTTTTTACCCTTTGTCTTCCCCTCTACTCTGCTCTTGTGAGACCCCACCTGGAATACTGAGTGCAGTTCTGGTGCCCTCAGCATAAGAAGGACATGGAACTGATGGAGCAAGTCCAGAGGAGGCCACAAAGTTGACAAGAAGACTGGGGCACCTCCCCTAGGAGGACAGGCTGAGGAAGTTGAGGTAGTTCAGCCTGGAGAAGAGAAGACTTTGTGGAGACCTCACAGCAACTTTTCAATATCTGAAGGGCCTGCACAGGAGCCGGAGAGGGACTCTTTGTTAGGAACTGCAGTGACAGGACAAGGTGTGACGGGTTCAAACTGAAGGAGGGGAAATTTAGGTTAGATATTAGAAAAAAGTTTTTACTGTGAGGGTAGTGAGACGCTGGAACAGGTTGCCCGGGGAAGTGGTGGCTGCCCCAACACTGGCAGTGTTCAAGACCAGGCTGGATGAGGCCTTGTGCAACCTGATCTAGTGGGGAGGTGTCCCTGCCCATGGCAGGGGGTTGGGACTAGATGGACTGTAAGGTCCATTCCAGCCCTTAAATTCTATGATTCTATGAAAGCATTGAAAGAATAAATAGGAAAAAGAGAAGGACAAATATGCTGCTGTGAAAGGAGAACACAAGTTTTCTAGTTTTGCATAAGAGTTGTGGGTTTAAGCTCAAAGGCTTCATAGAATCATAAAACTTTAGGGGTTGGAATGGACCTTACAGATCATCTAGTCCCAGCCCCCTCTGCTATGTGCAGGGACACCTCCCCACTAGACCAGGATGCTCAGGGCCTCCTCTAGCCTGGCTTTGAACACTGCCAGGGTTGGGGTGCCACCACTTCCCGGGGCAACCTGTTCCAGTGTCTCACTACCCTCACAGTAAAAACTTTTTTCTAATATCTAACCTAAATTTCCCCTCCTTCAGTTTGAACCCGTCACACCTTGTCCTGTCACTGCAGTTCTTAACAGAGAGTCCCTCTCTGGCTCCCTTGTAGGCCCCTTCAGATGTTGAAAAGTTGCTATGAAGTCTCCACACAGTCTTCTCTTCTCCAGGCTGAACAGCCCCAACCTCCTCAGCCTGTCCTCTCATAGGGATGATGCTCCAGTCCTCTTACCAACTTCGTGGCCCTCCAACAGCTAAAGAGTTTTAAAACAGAAAAGTTGATTGGGATGAATAAGTCTATGAGAGAGAAAACCTAAATGGAAGAAGTTAGCAAATTATCAATTCTGTACATAGTTTCCTCAGCTTTTGCCCAGAATTCTTTTTAGTGTGGGGGCTTTTATTTTAATTGAGGACAATATGTGCTTCCTAGGGAAGGGGAAGGAGCATTACATAATTTTCACAGGTTTGGAGACTCACAAATGATGTAAGACCTCAGTTTTTGTATTCAGTCCTTTAAAGAGCATTCTCCTCACACCTGCAGACTTCCTGATAGGGAATTGAGATTTACCTACATGCAGATGGAGATCTGCAGGAGAAGGAACAGGAATCTACCACCAAGTACAAAACAGCTAACCTGCCTGACCCTTCTGTATGTAGAGCTCCTCCAAGGAGTTGATGTACACAGATTAAAAGCTAGAAACATTAGGAATTTGCTTTCAGGAAGCAAACCAACCCTTGTCATTGATACATATATAAGAAGAAATATTTAGCTGATCTACAGATAATTGGGAAGTGGCTAAGGAAAGGTGGTGGAAGAATTAAAAAGCCTGCTGAGTAAAATACCAGACCTCTTCATAGCTGTATAGAACATTAAAGGGTATGGGGCTGTGAATTTTCCTAAAAGATTTAGATGCACAAGTTAAGTATTTCCAGTATTATATGGTGCATATACAGTAGTGTAGGGCAGTTGCATTTGAACTTTAGGGCAGGACATGTTTCCGTTGAAGATGATCACTTGAACAAAAGAGCAGAAAATCTTTGCAGCAAGGTTGTTCTTGCATTCTTGCTGGGACTGGTAGTTGGAATTATGTACTGCTGTGATACTCCTGGATTTCTGAAAGAACCTTTAGAAGACATTTTGTTACATTCTATATCATTGGGTCCAAACAACCTTTTTCTTTGGGTGAGTTCTGACTTTTGAGAAGGCTTGAGACGTGTGCATCTGAACTGCAAAACCCTTTTGCCTTCCCATGAAGTGATACATGTGCCCTACAACTTGTCTAACACTGGCTAAGTAGCTAGGGGTAAGATAAGAGCTATTAAACTTTGTGGACAGAATCACAGATTCATCAAGGTTGGAAGAGACCTTCAAGATCATTTGGTCCAAGTGTCAACCATTGCACTACCCTAATCACCCCTAAACCATATCCCCAAGTACCTCATCCAAACGCCTCTTCAACACCACCAGAGACTGTGACTCCACCACCTCCCTGGGCAACTTGTTCCAATGCCCGACCACACTTTCAGTGAAATTTCTTTTAACATACCTAAGTGGAACCTCCCCTGGTGCAGCTTAAGGTCATTTCCTCTTGTCCTTTCATGTGAGACATGGCGGGTAGTTGTAGAGAGCAATGATGTTCCCCACTGAGTCTCCTGTGTTGCCTCAGCCACTTCTCGTAAGATTTGTGCTCCAGACTCTTCAGCAGTTCCATTGCCCTTCTCTGGACATGCTCCAGCACCTCAGTGTCCTATATTAAGTGAAATGCCCAAAACTGAATACAGGATTCGAGATGTGGCCTCACCAGTGCCAAGTACAGGGGAACAGTCACTGCCCTGGTCCTGCTGGCCACAGTATTCCTGATACAGGCCAGAATGCTATTGGCTTTCTTGGCCACCTGGGCACACTGCTGGCTTATGTTCAGCTGCTGTCAGCCAGCATCCCTGTATCCCTTTCTGCTGAGCAGCTTTCAAGCCACTCTTAACCAAGCCTGTAGTGCTGCATGGGGTTGTTGTAACCCAAGTGCAGGACTTGTCACTTTGCCTTGTTGAATCTCATGCAGTTGTCCTCAGCCATCAATCCAGCCTGTTCGGATCCCTCTGTAGAGCTTTCCTTCCATCAAGCAGATCAACACCTCTGCCCAGCTTGGTGTCTTCTGCAAACCAACTGAAGGTGCACTTGATCCTCTCATCCAGCTAATTGGTAAAGATATTAAACAGAACTGGTCCCAGTACTGAGCCCTGGGGAATACAACTAGTGACTGGCCACCAGCTGGATTTAGTTCCACCACTCTCCAGACCTGGCCATCCAGGCAGTTTTTCAACCCAGTAAAGAATGCACCTGTCCAAGCCATGGGTTGCCAGCTTCTCCAAGAGAATGCTGTGGAAGACAGTGTCAAATGCTTTACTGAGGTCCAGATAGACAATATCCACAGCCTTTCCCTCATCCACTAAGTAGGTCGCTTTGTCATAGAAGGAGATCAGATCGGTCACCCGTCTGAGAAGGTGAAAAATGGTCCCAGATCCTCCTGGCTGTCAAACCTAAGTGTATAGGAATGTAGAACAAAGTTTGGATTATTTTTCTGAAGGAACACTGCCTCCAAACAACAGTGCTGCCATTGGGCAGTATTTATGTTCCCTTCTTGAATGCAAAATAAAAATGTAAAAATATAGAACAGTATTTGCGATAGATGAGATCTTGTATCTTGATCTAACTTCTGTGTCCAATCTGATATTGTATTCGCAGCTGTTATCTGTCAGAGCATCTTCTGATTAACTGTATTCTGTTAGTAATGAAGATGCTTTACTACTTGGTTTTTGGCATTTTCACTAATGTATTATGTACACCTATAAGTGTGTGTCGTTTTGCCAGCAAATGATTTTAACTGTTAAAGAAGATACATTCACTTCCTGGTTTTTGTTTGGAAATGTAAGGTAAAAATTGCTTTTGTCATAAAAGCTGTACACATATCAGCATATCCCTAGGTATGTGCCTGCATGTACATGCTGCTTTTCTCGTGTTCAGTTTTGGATTGGGTTCAGAGTAACAGTGGGACTTGTTCTTGGGATTTTAGAACACCAAGCATATTGTTATGCAACAAACCCATTGGCACTTGCTTGCCTGTCATGCACAGATCACCTTTCTGTTTAATCCACTTCTAAGTGTTTCATATTCTCATGTCTTTTATTGCCTATAAAAAATACCACTATTATGACTTAAGGTACTCTTTTCTAGGTCTTAAGACCTGTTGTCCACTTTGTAGCCTTTCTCATTTAAGGAATAGAGCTTTAGGGCAAGAAGTATCTGTGTTGAGGCTTCTGCAGCTCTGTTCTGCTTCACAGAACCTAACAGCATAATTATTTCACTCTTAATTTAATCTTAAGGCATTTAACATCTGTCTAACAAATTCTTATGCCAGAGCGCTCACAGTTTGCACTTATTGAATTAGCAGAAAAATCCACCTTCCCTGGCCTCAGTGCTGAAGGGCACTGAAAATTCATTTAGCTGAATTAAATTCTGGGTTACCTGCTTTAGTAGTTGGGGAAAGGGTGTGTTACAGCTCACTAAATCTGGGTGAGGCAGGTTGTTTGCTAATAAATTCAGACATTGGATAGAAAGTACAATAGAGAAGGTTTAAGAAAGGGTTATGAATTCCAGTTCTAGAGTGTTACTCTTTGTTTCATTTTGCAAGGCAAAAGCTGCACTGTGATCTTGTCTGATGTGATTAACATGAAGAGCCAAAAAAACTTACCTGATTAGAATGACTAAATTATATTGCCAAGCTTGTATTCCCAGAAGGTAGGAAAAAGGGGGCCATATGAGTTTCAGAGTTATGGAAAATACTGAGAAAATAGATGTGCTTTAGGCAGTTTGCTCAACAATACATCAGGGAAACTTCCAAGTCTACATAGCGATTACCCGATCGCTGAACATATTATTTAATTGTAGAACCACTTATATTCCATCTGTATTTCTCAAACCCAATCTTTCCAGATGTCTCAGACCAGTTTTATAGGCACCAGACACATTAGGGAACAAAAGGCTTTCCAATATATACTCATATTATCAAACATAGTCACTAACTCTCACCAATATCAAATATGCATCACATGTTAAATCCACGTTCCAATACTGAATCCTTTTGTCAGCAGTTTGTGACTTTCATAACTCACTTTAATTCTTCAGAGGTCCCAAATATTGTCAGTTTCTAGAGTTTAATAGTCAAAACTGTCAAGCACACAAAATATTTTCAAACAAAGTGATCTCTGAAGGGTTCAAGTGTAATTATTTTTCACGTTTTAATGAAAATGGCTTCACAGTTCTATGTTTCCTTTCCCTAACTGAGTCACTCTGAATCATGCTGTTGTGGGGGAGTCTGCCTGGGAATCCAGACTAGAATTACTTTTCAGCATGGGTTGGGGGATGGTGCCCAGAGGATGTCACTTCCTCGAACTCTCTTAGATAAGAGAAGAATCCACAAATTGTACTCACTGTACTCGAACCCAAACCATGTTAGCCCTTTGAGAAGCAGGTTCAAGTATCCAGAGTGTTTGCCCACATTCTGCTTCTTTTCTTTCAGAGCCTTTAGAAGCTTCTGTAGTCCTAAAGGCTGCAGACAGAAATGTCCCAGCTAATTACTTTACCTGCAACTCATCACGAAGCAAAGTCTACGTTAGTATTTTTTTCATTTTTGCTCTGAGGAATTTTTGCATTTTGCTATTCTACAACTGTTGAGGCAGATTTAAACTTTATCTTGTAAACAGTTTTCCTCGACCTCTCCATACCCCCTACCATGCATACAGAAAGAGAATGTAATAGTTTGCTATTTGTATGCAATTTGAAAGAGCCAAGATAAACCCTGAAGAAGGAAATGCTGAAGGCATCATAAATAATATGTTGCTGTTCGCAAGGGAAGAAGGAAAATCCATGAACCAAGTGTTGGAATATGACACTGTATCAGTAAATGACATGAAACAGATGTAGGTATTTTATGGGAATGGTATACAGGAGATTAAAACTTACTGAAATACCTGTTAAAGAAAGAGTCTGAAACACAGTGGGCACCATAATCTCCTGTGAAATCTTACTAGGCATCTCATTGCATTTCCCAAATGTAGTTTTCTGTGAATTAATACTACATTTTATTCTGAAATTTCCATGAACCTTTGGAATTTTCTCTCTTTTGCCTCCGCATTGTGAACTCGCATCTCTCCAGATAACTGATCACATGTGAATAGCAACTATTCATGATACCCTAGTTAACACAGGGGAAGCACTCTCTGAAATTCTTGCATCATTGAGTTAATTTATGTTACTCCATAAATCATGAGTGAATCATGTACTTCCTCCCACAAGGAGTGTGCTTCACTATTTTGAATTCTGTATTTTCTTTTGACATTATATTGAATTATGTAAGATGAGAATAGAAGTAAAACTTCTGCTTTAGTCACTATGACACAGGAGGGGAGAACTGGTAGGAAAAGGGTTTATTGAAAGGGTGGATGGTTTGTCTTCAGTAACCAGCTGTCTGTCCTAGCTGCTTCCTAGGTGCTGGTCAGTAAGTAAAGATTTAATATAATTATGGTTTGGGATTTTTTTTAAAAAAAAGACAGTTGTGGAAACAGCATTTGTGTTGTGAACTGTGTAGTTAAAGTGTCCAGTCTGGTGACACCGGGCTGTGAAGGTTTGGCAAACTACAAGGACTTGAGAAGAGTCATAGTGAATTCAGGCAGCCCAAGATTGCACATACATAAATAAAATATGTGCTTTGCTGGATTAGGTCCTAATTAAAGAATTATAAAATTGTTCTGACTTTGCATATCAGCTCAGTCTGTTTATTTTTCTATGTTTCCATTATTTTTTGAAACTCATTTCCCTGATATCAAACATGTGCAAGATATAGCACGAAAGTTAATTTGCATCTGCAACTTAAAAGATTTTAAACATATTGAAAATGCAATCCAAACCAGACATAACTTTCTTTTGCTTACTTGTTTTTTTTCTTAGAGATTGGCAGTCAGAAATTCCACAGATATAGTCAAGAGAAGACACTGAAGTGGTTAAAGAAAAAGGTATTGTGTTTCTCTTTTGCATCCAAAATTGCTTTATGTTTAAAATGCAAATGCTTATTAGCTTGTGTATATCTGCATTTGAGCCATGTAGTGTGGATGGTACGTGCACGAGTTCAAAGTACATGCCCTGCCCAAGAAGGACAGACATCACAGCAAAGTTGTCACACTTGGGAATGTGATGAGGTATTAGAGATATTACAAGCTTGTTACATTTCTCATTCTGACGGAGCTGGCGTTAGAGGGATTCATGGAGTGTGGGAAAGCAGAAGAAGAAGGTGTCAGCTTATCACTGTAGGCTTTGTGCAAGGTGAAGGGCTTGTCTTTTGTTTCATCCCTTTCATAGATGGGCTAGAGGAGAGCTTTGATTGTTACACCTTTTAAATTCTGCCATGCTTTGAAGCTGAGTAGAAATGCCTTGGTTTTGTGCTACGAATGTGTTTCCTCATGAAGCTTTGACAGAGTCACCCAGAATGGTCCTGGTTTGGTTGCTGTTATCCTGATCTGGTCATGCTGTTCAAGAGATCTGTACAGTATGCCAAAAATAATCTAGTGTTTAAGCTTGATGGGGCCTGTGCTTTGGTATAGAGAAGGTAAATTTCATTTTACATTATGCACATGTGCCCCTACTGTGGCATCACTTTGTAGAAAATGATTGTATGCATCATGTGATGTAAGGAAGCCTTGTCATTTAAATTAGTCAATACATGCACAAAATCTAGTCTACTTTCTGCAGAGATGAGGCATATCCCCCCTCCACCCTCCAGTGATGGGGATATGTATTTTGCAATGGTTACCAGAGTATTTACATTTGAACAGGTAGCTGTTTGTGTTGTTGAAAATACCTTCTGACATCTCTCTGTTGGATCCAGTATAGCAGTGCCCTGTAAAGTCCTGAATCTTCAATTTTCATCAAGACTGCCTTTGCAGTCCAGCTGAGCTCACGTGTTCTCTCTTCTCTGAGCAGGTGTATTTCTTACCTGTATAATCATGACTGTTGCATCTGAGTAGCTCAGCTCATCTTAGGGTGCTGCAAAACTGGTGCTGTGTTGCCAAGGCAACATGTTCATGAAATTGACAATCCTTTTACCAAAAAGGCTGGTGTGATCCTGTTTGCTTCTAGTCACCCTTCTGCTGGGGAGGGCAATGTCCTCAAATGTTGCTGGCATATGAAGTTCTGTAGAGAGACCTGAAAATGGACTAAGAACAAATTACTTGGATGTTAATGAAAATTAAGAAAAGTTTAAAACAAGATGAACAAAGAACAAATTGATTCTTGACATGCTAGTTTCTTTGGTTTTTTTGAGCTCATATGCTAGTCATTACAAATGTATATTAAATTTCACCACAGTCCATAACTTGAGTGTTTTATATGCTTGAAACAAAATTACAAGAGCTTTGTCACTGCATTAACATGTGCATAACAATACTGATACAGACATTTCATTCTTTGGTTTTCTATAGGTTAATCAAACAGTGAAAGCACTTAAAAGCAACAATATATTGGTAGGGGAAAAGGTAGTTGCAACTACATTTATCAGCGGTAAACAGATCGCAGATACTAAAGAAGGTAAGAAAACTAAACATTGCAATGAATTCCATTTTTGTGAAGTCACGTAAGTGGAGACAAAACACATGATCAGAAACTAAAATGTATTGAAACTGGCCTTTGCAGTTAATTTATTCCTTGTACAGAAAGTTTGGTATGTGTTGTGAGTGTGTGCCTTGGCTTTTCCAAGTTCTTTGGTATCTTCATCAGATGACATTGTAATTAACAGTAGGCCTCAGCTGGGGTTCTCTTAACTTCTCCGTAGTTCAAGTAGAAAACATTTTTCTCAGTGAAATATATGCTGAAGTGCTTTGCTGAACTGAGACTGTCTTAGACAATTGGACACATGCTTATGATATATATGAGTGTCCACCCACTAAGTGTCTCTGTATTAAAACATTTCTTTTTATTGTTATCTTTATTAGGATGCACAGAATATTAGTATATTGGCATTCATAGAATTCTTCAAAAAGTCTTAGGAAGTCAAACTCACAGAGGAAAAGCTCTTGGTCCAAATGTTACTTTATGTGACAAATGTACAGAATGCACAAATGTGTGCTTATTAAGGGCAAAACTTTAGTAATATGTGTGTTAAATTGCCATGAAATTGACAATCCTTTTACCAAAAAGGCTGGTGTGATCCTGTTTGCTTCTAGTCACCCTTCTGCTGGGGAGGGCAATGTCCTCAAATGTTGCTGGCATATGAAGTTCTGTAGAGAGACCTGAAAATGGACTAAGAACAAATTACTTGGATGTTAATGAAAATTAAGAAAAGTTTAAAACAAGATGAACAAAGAACAAATTGATTCTTACTACAAAGATATTCAGAAGTGTTCATGCTGTTGAAAAATAAGGAGAAACAAAGCAGCTTGCTGACAAAGTGGAATATGAGCTACCAAGTAATGATATCAAAGGAAACAACATAAATGAGATTTAAGAGGCAACTAGACAGTTTTATAGAACAGATTGTAATATATGGGTTTTTTAAAAACGGCAAAGCTGCAAAACTTGTAAATGGCTTTAACTTTGTAGCAGCTTTTCATCCCTTCCCCCACCCTTTTACTTGTTTAAAGAAAGGGTAAAGTGTCCTGACAGCAACCATCTTGGCTATGTTTAAGTACTTTTTTCTGAAATTTGTAATTAAATAGCTCATCCACAGTGGTTTTTCCACCTTGCTCCTTACTTATAGTGACATGGATATATCAGTCTTTTTTAAAGCCTTTTTAGGGATTTAAGAGAGCAAGATTGAAATAGGGTACATTGGGGGTTTAAAGTAGGTGAGTTTTAGGGTAGTCCCAACTGTATGTAGCAAGGTGAGTGACAGGAAGTCAAATGGTCCTTACTCAACACTTATTTCTAAGACTAATTTTCTTGTCGGATCCTTTCACTGCCATGACAGTGCAATTTATTTCCGTAGAGAATTGTTTTCATAGGGGTATTATGAAATTTCAGTACCTTATAAATAGGTGAGTATGTGTAGTTGGCATCTAGAAGTTGTAGGGCAAAAATATGGGAGGATATAATGAGTGCAAATAGGGATGTAGGGGAGATTTAACCTATGAGACCTAAATATTTCATTCAGAAGACAAAGAAGAGAGGTTTGCAAGTATCCTGATGTTTGACAGGCACCTAATAACAAAGCTAGGCTAGGGTGAGAACACAGAGTCCCTAGAAGGCAAACAGTGGCATTTTTAAATTGGTAAAGGAAGTCAGTGAATATTGCTTCCAGGCAGAAACACAAAGAGTATGGATTTTGTATTCGTACAAAATAGTATCAGTTGACTTGGACTCACCATTCAGTGTCATAACGCAAAGAGTGAAATGATGGGAATATTTTTCTTAAGCGATAAATTGGACAGGTTAAGTGCCAGGGTGAAATTGTCTTGGGTTTGAATTATTTCTTGTTCTCTCCTGACCCTAAAGTGGGCTTAGAGAGGGACAAGTTGTTGATGAATCTAGGCAGTGGAGGAAGAAGTGCAGGTAGGCGATACTAAGAATTTATTGTCAGTAGAGTTGAAATGTGTATGCTGGTGTCAGTTTGTTAATGCTTTCTGCTTCTGTGCCAGTTTGCATTGGGCTTTTTAGATTTAAAAAAAAATAAAAGGAGGGAACTTATTTCTGGCACTAAAGAAATAGTTCTTTACCACCCTGAGGGTGGTATACCACGTGCTTCTGAACTCTCTGTAGACGTATGAGCAGACAGAGCTGGCCTGTTGTAGTTGGAATTCAGAGGTGAGATTTTAACTTAATGTCTGTTTGGCGAATGCTTCCTGTGCATGGGTGCAGTTACTCCCTAGCAGCCTCAACAACAGCAAGTTTAAAAGATCCAGCCTATGATCATTAAGTGCTTGTGTAGAACGTGACCGGAAAAGAGCTGGTTTAGGACTTCATGTTACAAAAGGGTCATTTTTTTTCCCAGTCTCTCAGAAAAACATTTATAGCAGGAGTGCCCTGTACTGAAAACAGCTTCTAGTAGTTCATATTTCCACAGATAATTATCCCGTCTTGCCAGTGATGTTTAGATAGGCCTTGGCATTTTCTATAAAGTACTGAAAATTAAGTACAAGACTTTGAAATAGACTCATTGTCTCATCTAATTGTTTTCAGTTGAAGCCAGAAAATGTTCTTTAGTACTGAAACCCTTGCCAAATAATTGTAAGATCCAGATGCTTTAAAATTAATGATTGCATGTTCTGTTGAGTCAGCTTTTTACTTTTGCAGGTTTTTAAAATTTAATTTCTTCAGAAAAATACATGATATCTAGTATCCTCAGAAAATGAACAGCTTTTGTGAAGTACATGCAGCAGATATTAATAACACGTGCTGACAAACTGAGTGTAGTAAGTCTTTATTTTTAAATAAACCTACAAGTGTCATATAACATAAACTACTCAACACAGTGAACCATCACAGTGTATCCATTAGAAGTCTCTTACTATTAATTCAGCCTTATGATTTATGGTAGCACATGCAACATGGTTAAGGCAATGTGACTATATAACATGAAGGTTCTTTTTCTTCTCCTTCCCACTCCCTGCCGTATCCTGAAGACTATGTACGCTATGCCCATGGTTTAATATCAGAATATATTCCTGAGGATCTGAGTAAGGAGTTGTTAAAATACTTAGGGTAAGTATTGTTCCAGATAACTGCTCATCTTATATGACAAGCATTATTGTCCTTTTGGTCACTTCTATTGAATACTGAGATTTGTTCATCAAGGTTGCAGTGAATGACACAATGAGATTATATTTGCCACACTTTATATGTGATTTTTCAAATGCAGATTGTGCCTTTCTGTTTTTCCTATAATGGTAAGGACTGTGAGCTAGGGGAGAGATGTAATGTTTGAGTTGATATGTCTATTACCAGAGCTGCATCATGAAACCCTGAGTTATGCATCCCATTTTAAGACAGGTGGGAGGGAAGTCCAAAGAGTTAAAGCAATTTGTCCAGAATTATCAAGCATGAACAGCAAATCCAGGAGTATAGTCCTCATCCCCCTCTTTCCTTCTCCCTACTCAATCAGTGCTCATGTGTCTAACCTGTGTTAGTTTATATTTAAATCTGGAAGGTAAGCCAGCCTCCTCATCCTGGTGTTTCTTGCCAGCAGCAGACTTTGCTTGGAGCATCACTGGGACCTTACACCTCCTCCTCAGTTTAGTTCTGTTCAGAGGGTTCAGTTGTGGTGGCCTGTGGAGAAATGTGCAGCTTCATAGCTTCAAGCACACCTACAGGTTGGATGGGGAAGTAATAGAGACGAAGTAATTGAAACCAGCAGTGAGGAGAAAGACTTGGGAGTGACAGTGGATGAGAAGCTCACCATGAGCTGCAGTGAGCACTAGCAGCCCAGAAAGCCAATGGAATTCTGGGCTGCATCAAAAGAAGTGTGGCCAGCAGGTTGAAAGAGGTGATTCTCCCCCTCTACTCTGCTCTCGTGAGACTCCACCTGGAATACTGCGTGCAGTTCTGGTGTCCTCAACATAAGAAGGATATGGAACTGATGAAGCAAGGGCAAAGGAGGGCCACGAAGTTGACAGGAGGACTGGAGCATCTCCCCTATGAGGACAGGCTGAGGAGGTTGGGGCTGTTCAGCCTGGAGAAGGGAAGACTGCATGGAGACCTCATAGCAACTTTTCAGTATCTGAAGGGGGCCTATAAGGAAGCTGGAGAGGGACTTTTTATTAGGAACTGCAATGATAGGACAAGGGGTAATGGGTTCAAACTGAAGGAGGGGAAGTTCAGGTTGGATATTAGAAAAAGTTTTTTCTGTGAGGGTGGTGAGATGCTAGAACAGGTTGCCCAGGGAAGTGGTGACTGCCCCGACCCTGGGACAGTGTTCAAAGCCAGGCTGGATGGGGCCTTGAGCAACCTGATCTAGTGAGGAGGTGTCCCTGCCCATGGCAGGGGGTTGGGATGATCTGTAAGGTCCATTCCAACCCCTAAAATTCTGTGATTCTGTGATTCTGTGATAGCTGAACAATTTCATAAGTCAGAAATACAGAGTCCATGAGCTGCTTTTTTGCGAGCACTTGCCATGTGTGAGCAGCTGACAAAGCAGCCTTTGTGAAGAAGGAATTACAAACTTCAATCCATCTGTCTTATTTATAACTTAAAATCTTTTGTTCCACAGGCTCCCAGAACTTAGAAGCCCAGCACCAGATCCACCACTGAAGGTAGGAGAATATTAAGAAATTGATAGATAAACGTTGTGTTGTAAATTAATTTCTCTGCCAATTATTATTAAAACTACATCAGGCCAAGCACTGGGTACAGTACAATAAGTAAGTTGGCCTTGCAAAAAGCCAGTCTGAAACGACACAAGACATTTACCAGGTAACTTATATTTTTAATAAG